AATCTTACTATATCCTTCACAGTCACATAAGCATACAGTACAAACACACACACACCATATATTCATATCACCAATCAGTCATCCCTCTACCTCACAGACACCTCTCACATTAACAGATACACAAAGAACACTCATCCAATAATGTGGGCAGCTCCTCAGTAGTAGGAGTACGAAGACGTGTCTGTGCGTAAAACACCAGGGTGAATTTGTAGTGCCAATGTGCCACCAAAGCTCTCCTTTCCTACCCTCTCTTCCTCCTCACATTGCTAGAGCCTGGAGTGAGGTTCCACCTGTGGTTGCCATAGCAATGCTCTCTGGGCCCACCAAGGACATCCTGGACAACAATACAATAGCTCCACAGCCTGGAGTACTTGGGGGATATATTCTCTCACACACACACACGCCTTCATGTCTCAGGCAAGGTTACTCATCGCGTATGAAGCGTGGTTCCGTAACTGCTATGTGTGTGTGCTTGTGCACATCCATGCATGTGCGTTTGCGTGTGTGCACATACATGCGTGCATGAATCCGGGGATTCAGGCTAAAAGCCTAAAGGCTCAGACTTTTCTGTTTCCATCTACTGGGCCATGCTTCGGTGGACCTGCTCTAACTTGGGGACAAGCCCAAGCCACTGGTAATTTTCAGCCTGCATTTACATACTGTATAAATTGCTAACTGTGAACTTTAACACCTTCTCACAAAGCAACTGTCTTGATGATCCTGATGGAAACACAATAACACTAGAGCTGACATTAACATAAAACACTGGCGACACCCTAGTGTGAGGGGATGTCCTAGTGGAAATGCGCCATGAGAGAGGTTTTTTCTCTTCTTTCAAATGATCACCTCACAGACAGACATCATGTTTAACTCAACAACCGCTAAAGCAGTCATTTTGACTGCTCATTAATTAAATATATATATACAGTATGAAATGTATTAGAACTATTAGAAATGTTAAACTATTAGAATGTTGCAGTCAGAATGACTGCTCATTAGCTTGAAGAGGGGTCCCTCGAGGCCCAATGATTCTTGTGTTAAAGAGAAATTTCACCCTGGCTCTGCCACGGCATACAGTCATTATTATATTAACAACAAAATTATCCCAACCACAAGCTATAACGAGCACATTTTCATTTCACTGGTAGAAACATGAAGGTTCGACTTCCTTTGCATTAGTTTGCCCATAGTGAAGCAGAAAGTCCACCACTCATAGTGAATGCAGATACCGCACGCTAGGTAGACTTGGAGGATGGCGTTGTTTACTTTGAATGAACAACACACATTCATCTCAGAATTTCTCTAGGCAAGACTTTTTATTTAAAGTTTGTTTTTCACCACCATAAAATAAATATGGATATTTTCTATCAATCTTCGAAATTTGGCTGCCTTTATGGATTCACATAAGATATTTATATAAGCTGTACAGCGCTCTGTAGCATCAAACAGATGTTAGACATTCAGATATATCCAAATAATGTTTATTTGTCAAATTCTAAAATACAGGGGAGTGTACACGATTTAATGCTAACTCAAAAAGAGAACTGGGTATTCAACAAGAATGGTAAAAGTAACATAAAAAAAATATACATTATGAACTGTGTAGTACAGTTCAGTGTGTCTGAGTGTGTCTCAGGAAAGTGCAGAGAACTGTAGTTACAGATTGTTACACCAGATAATGTGATTGAACCAAAGATTTTTGGTATCCATTACTGGGAATTACAGGATAGGTACTGTTTGGTGTAACACAGAGAATTTTCAACCAACCTTAGCTTGGTTATACTGTCTTTGCCCTCAATTTGTGGAATCAGCAGTCTCATAAAACGTCTAGTTGCAGTGGGTCCGTTTGAATTTAGAAAATGCTCCGTTATTAAAATAAATATTATTTTTTGCTCCATGAAGCAATCCTACAATGTGTCTATTTCAGGTCTTCTTCCAGTGACATTCTGACTTCAGGTGATCCTCTTCTACAATGTAAAAAGTGGGACGGCGCTGTTGTTCTCTGAAGTACTTTTTTTGATTGGAATGACCGAAAATTGTGTTTTGGTTCGTTCAGCCTATTCTATTCAATTTGTCTGCAATCAAATAACGAATTTGACAGATCAATGTGATCTTTTTAATTGAAGGAAAGCTTTTGCATTTGCATTGGATAGCAGCGGGGGCAATGTAGCGGCTGCAGCCTATCAGAAGAGTTGGAAGCGTGGCTTATTGGGGGCGTGGCTTTCAGTTTGTCATTTTTGCCCACCCGTGAGAGTGAATATCATTCCAGGTAATCGGTTCTGTTGTATTCATTATTCAAAGTTAAACTTGTACACTGCCAGCACTGAATCTGTAATACTACTTCATAAGTGCATGTACTACTAAAGAGCCTGCTAAGGTTTCCATTGTTAAGACAGTCACCATTTGAATACAATGTTGTGACCAATAGTTATGTTATAAGTCTTATGTAAAGAATGTGTTTGGATGTATTATTACATGTTATTAAATCTACTTAATTTCTTGATTTACAGGGAATTGATTTAAGTGCTTGTAACCCAATTGAATACATTTGGATAGGTCATTCCAAAGTGAAACATTTAAAAAAGAAATAGTTGTATATACATGACATATTAGTTTGAATGTATTATATTTATTAGGTTTAACCAAAGGGGTAAAGTAAGTTGAGTGTTGAAAGAAATAGGTTGCAACTTTAAATATAGGTGTGTTACTAATCAAATAAAACAGTTGGCATTAAATCATATTATTTGGTTTCAACAAATGTAGCTTTTTTTCAATTGAGAAAACCTTATTGGAGGTTGAATTTTTTTTACTTGTAACCAGTTGAATATATTTTTTTAGGTTGATCCAAAGAGTAAAAAATGTTTACAGTGTAGATACGTTACAGTGCTGGCAGACAAATTACAGATAATCCTACTGAGTTTTTGAGGAAACGCATATGCATTCTGATCACCTTCCAAACACATTCTTTTTTGTTAGATTATATGGAAATGGGGGAAACTGTGACTAACATTCAACAATTAATTAATTTAGTATTTCTACAGACAGGTAGTAGTGATCACATTCTGATCCACTGGACCAATTCTACAGCATATAAATGGAATGACTAGAAAGTTGATTACAGCATCCATATAAAGAACTAGCATGGGAAAACCTATTCTATTTTTATTTTTTATATGTTCTACAGTAGCTTTTTTACAGTGACAGTATTTAGGCTAATCCAGTGGTCTCAGAGCAGCTACATCAATGAACTGTCAGAGAGCAGCTTCCCCATAGAAAATCAATGGGCTTTGCAGGCCAGTGGTGATCTATGACCACCCAGCTGACAGCAGAGAGGGAGAGTTAACGCTGAGTAATGAGCTAATGAAGTGACTCTCTCTCTAAAGGAGGTCACATCGGAAAACTTTCACTGGATTTGATTGTGTTGATTGATTTCGCTCTTTTCTTTAGAAAGACTTGTAGGATGAATTGAGGCTCTCTCCCTATGTGTGATCGAATGACAGACTGGATCATAAGATGATGGTACATATCGACTTAACGTAAACCATCATTTCACTGTATCTTAAGGTAAAAAAATCATGGTTTTAACCACCCCAAAAATAGAACGTTTGGATTGAAGTGATCAGCTAGAATTTGCAGCTCGCAACGATGGGTCCAATAATTGTTTTTACTTGTGCAGCCAAATCAAAGGGTCGCAAAATGTGACTAAATAATTAAATTTGAGAGTTGAGTAGTCACATGTACAGGGTTACAGATGTAATGACAGGGTACAGTGAGATTATTGAGCTCCGAGTTCCAACAATGCAGGACAAAGTGAAATAAAAATATAAAAATAGACAATAATAAAAAATAGAAATAATAATATATACATATTATTAACAAATGTGGCAATGATGGGGTGGGAGCAGGGTAAAATGTCAGTTGAAGTGTGGAGGGAAAATGTCCATAGGGGGAGCAGCAGGTGGGGAGGGGGGCAGGTAGCTGACTAGTGGTGGCTATTCAGCAGCCTGATTGTCTGGGGGTAGAAGATATTAACCAGTCTTACAGTTTTTCCCATGATGCTCCTATACTGCCCGCATCTGAGTGATGGAAACAGGGAGAACAGGCCATGGCTCTTGTGGCTAGAGTCCCTGAAGATCTTCTTGGCCTTCCTGCGACACCTGGTGTTGTAGGTGTCCTGGAGGGCAGGCAGCATGCACCCAATGGTGCGTTCGGCTGAGCGTACCACCCTCGGTAGAGCCTTGCGGTCTGCGGCGGTGGAGTTTCTGTACCAGGCTGTGATACACCCCGACAGTATGCTCTCGATGGTGCTCCTGTAGAACACTGTGAGGGCCCTCGTGGACAGGCCGTGTTTCTTCAGCATCTTGAGGTTGAAGAGTCGCTGTCATGCCTTCTTCACCACGGTGTCCGTGTGGTTTGATCGTTTCAGATCCTCGGTGATGTGTATGGCGAGGAACTTGATGTTTTTGACCGTCTCCACAGCGGCCCCGTTGATGAGGATGGGGGCGTGCCCAGCCTGGTTCCTCCTGAAGTCCAAAATCAGCTCCTTTGTTTTGCTGTCGTTGATGGAGAGGTTGTTTACCTGGCACCACGCCGTCAGACAGCCTACTACTGTCGTGTCGTCAGCGAACTTGATGATAGAGCTGGAACTGTGTGAGGCCACGCAGTCGTGGGTATACAGGGAGTACAGGAGGGGACTGAGGACGCACCCTTGTGGGGCCCCTGTGTTGAGAATCAGTGTCGAGGAGGTAACGTTGCCTACCATCACCATCTGGGGGTGGCCCGTCAGGAAGTCCAGGACCCAGACGCATAAGGAGGAGTTCAGTCCCAGGGCCGTGAGCTTTGTGGTGAGCTTAGAGGGCACTATGGTATTGAATTCTGAACTGTAGTCGATAAACATGAAAATGTCAGAAAACACAACAGCCAGCTCAGAGGGTGCGTCTGGGGATGACGCCTGGGCCAGCAGCTAGGTGAGGGTTAACACGTTTGAATTTCATACATACACTAGGTCCTCCTTGGAGTACGTAGCCCTCGTTATCTTCAGGAGCTTTCCTCGGCCGCTCATAGTGGTCATTGTGCTCGAAGCGTGAGAAAACAGTGTTTAGCTCATCCGGTAGGGCGGCGTTGGTGTCCGCCCCTGCCACATATGCCTCGTGTGCGACCCGCTGAATTGCTCCTCCACTTTGTCCCTATACTTGTGTTTTGCCATCTTGATCAATCTGCAAAGGTGATATTTGTACTGTTTAACCATACTATTGGCCTGGTCACGTTGCCGTGTTCATAAGCACGTTTCCCTACAAGGCTGCCATCAATCCACGGTTTTTGATTCTGGTAAGTTTTGAAAGACAATATCGGTATCACATCATATTTTTATGAATCTGAGTTGGTGTATTCATTGATGTTATCAGGAAAATAGCAGCTATATACACTGAGAATAGAAAACATTAAGAACACCTGCACTTTCCATGACAGACTGACCAGTTGAATCAAGGTGAAAGATATGATCCCTTATTGATGTCACTTATTAAATATATTTCAATCAGTGTAGATGAAGGGGATGAGACAGGTTAAAGAAGGATTTCTAAGTGTTGTGACAATGTATTGTGTATGTGTGCCATTCAGAGGGTGAATGGGAAGATAAAATATGTAAGTGCCTTTGAACAAACTATCATAGTTTGTGTCAAGAACTGCAACGCTGCTGTGTTTTCCCGCTCACCAGTTTCCCGTGTGTATCAAGAATGGTCCACTACCCAAAGGACATCCAGCCAACTTGACACAACTGTGGGAAGCATTGGAGTCAACATGGGCCAGCATCCCTGTGGGACGCCTTCGACACCTTGTAGAGTCAATCCCCCAACGAATTGAGGCAGTTCTGAGGGCAAAAGGGGGTGGGGATTCCTAATGTTTGGTATACTCAGTGTATACACAATGGCTTTTGCTACTATCTCCAGACTAGGTATGCCAGTGCTGTGGTGTCCATCAGCAATATACAACTTTGCATGTGGGATAGATGGAAAGAGAGGGAGAGAGGGAAAGGAGAGGAGATTAAGATCATATTTCCATTTGCTCTGCTCCAAAATGAAATGATCATCCCAGGTGTAAGGGAGAATGGGTTGGGGGTTGAGGTGGGCTGTGGAGAGTGGAGTGTTGAGGCATTTTACAACCCCCTCCCCCTTCTCTCCCTCCTCTTTTTCCACATTTTGTTACGTTACAGCCTTATTCTAAAATGGATTAGGTAAACATTTTCCTCATCAATCTAAACACAATACCCCATAATGACGAAGCGAAAACTGGTTTTTAGAAATGTTTGCTAATTTATTACAAGTAAAAAAACAGAAATACCTTATTTTCATAAGTATTCAGACCGTTTACTATGAGACTTGAAATTGAGCTCAGGTGCATCCTGTTTCCATTGATCATCCTTGAGATGTTTCTACAACTTTATTGGAGTCCACCTGTGGTAGGTTCAATTGATTGGACATGATTTGGAAAGGCACACACCTGTGTATATAAGGTCCCACAGTTGACAGTGCATGTCAGAGCAAAAACCAAGCCATGAGGTCGACGGAATTGTCCATAGAGCACTGGGACAGGATTGTGTCGAGGCACAGATCTGGGGAAGGGTACCAAAAAATGTCTGCAGCATTAAAGGTCCCCAAGAAGACAGTGGCCTCCATCATTCTTAAATGGAAGAAGTTTGGAACCACCAAGACTCTTCCTATAGCTGGCCGCCCGGCCAAACTGAGCAACCAGGGAAGAAGGGACTTGGTCAGGGAGGTGAACAAGAACCCGATGGTCACTCTGACAGAGCTCCAGAGTTCCTCTGTGGAGATGGGAGAACCTTCCAGAAGGACAGCCATCTCTGCAGCACTCCACCAATCAGGCCTTTATGGTAGAGTGGCCAAACGGAAGCCAATCCTAAGTAAAAGGCACATGACAGCCCACTTGGAGTTTGCCAAAAAGGCACCGAAAGACTCTCAGACCATGAGAAACAAGATTCTCTGGTCCGATGAAACCAAGATTGAACTCTTTGGCCTGAATGCCAAGCGTCACGTCTGGAGGAAACCTGGCACCATCCCTACAGTGAAGCATGGTGGTGGCAGCATCATGCTGCTGGGATGTTTTTCAGCAGCAGGGACTGGGAGACTAGTCAGGATCGAGGGAAAGATGAACGGAGCAAAGTACAGAGAGATCCTTGATGAAAACCTGCTCCAGAGCGCTCAGGACCTCAGACTGGGGCAAAGGTTCACCTTCCAACAGGACAACAACCCTAAGCACACAGCCAAGACAATGCAGAAGTGGCTTCAGGACAAGTCTCTGAATGTCCTTGAGTGGCCCAGCCAGAGCCCAGACTTGAACCCGATCTAACATCTCTGGGGAGACCTGAAAAAAGCTGTGTTGCGACATTCCCCATCAAACCTGACTAAGCTTGAGAGGATCTGCAGAGAAGAATGGGAGAAACTCCCCAAATGCAGGTGTGCCAAGATTGTAGCCTCACACCCAAGAAGACTCAAGGCTGTAATCGCTGCCAAAGGTGCTACAACAAAGTACTTAGTAAAGGGTCTGAATTACTTATCTAAATGTAATATTTCAGTTTTTATTTTTTTATTTTTTTTAAACAGAAAACGTTTTTTGCTTCAGCATTATGTGTTATTGTGTGTAGATTGATGAGGGAAAAAACGATTGAATCCATTTTAGAATAAGGCTGTTACGTAACAAAATGTGGAAAAAGTCAAGGGGTCTGAATACTTTCCGAATGCACTGTATGGAATTGTTTTAAGATGGTCATAGTATGGCTCATTCAGCTATTTGATTTAAAATTTTAGGACCCCTTTATGTATATAAAAAAAATAATGTTGGGGATAAAATATTGATTTAGGCCTTTTCTACTAACGCCCATAGAAACACATTGAATATGACATTCATAAATGGCAAAAAGGACAGTCAAAAAATAAATAATAAGAAACAAGGATTTGAAGTGTCTGCCCTAAATCTAGTAGATATTTTTTAAAAAAACTCTGGATATATATATATATATATATTGTACACATATTTAATCCCTTTTTGGGGTAGGCACAAAACTACCTTCATACTTCCATTTGTTTTTTTAAACCGGTACTGGTTACCTACAGGCGAGTCCTGTGACACTTGTGGGGGATGTAGAGCAAAACGGAGAACGCCATCGTGTTCGTGGGAGTATCCCCTTTCCATAGAGTGGTCATAGTAGTAGGCCAATCCATTCGGACGCTACAGACGTTTACGTGAGAAGACCGATTTTCGGGATGTCTCATGGTGTGCCAAACACCGCTCTAGCTCTCCCACCTTTCACCGCAGATGCTGAAGTGCAACACTGGCGGATGCGGTGGATTGAGACGCATCCAATGCAAAAAACAGTTATCTCTAGCTTAAACTGACAGATTTTAATGGGAATTTTTTTGTCAAGTAACTAGGGGGTTAATCTACTCCAGTGCATATCCAATGGTAGTGTGGTAGGGTATTAACTTCGAAATCTTAAGGTTAGGCATTAACTCCAAATGGTTAAGGCTTGGGATAGTCTTTAAAAAAAATCTCAATAACAACTCTGTATCGCTGGATTTGATCTTGCAACATTTGGAATCAGATGCTTACAGCCATCCACCATCCCCATCCACAATACTCTAGCAAAACCGAAACCTATTTGAAGCCAACAGTGCTCACTGTTGCTCCTAGTGGCTGATTTCCACGTCATCTCCCGACGTCCTTAGATATGGATGGATGTTGAATATGGACTTGTATCACGGGTGACCTGGCTGGAGGGTGAGCGTGTGCATGTGTGTGCATTACTGCATTATAGTCAGAATGGAAATATTTTCAAAGATCACAATGTAGGAAAATGTAGCTACGTAGACTTGAACAATGGGAGCTCTGACATCTAGTGGATGTGGAATGACGTATATGGGACCTAGAACTAGAATAGAATGATATATCTTAAACCAGAGAGGACAGTCTTTTCTCCTCTGCTCTCTTCTGTTATCTGCTTATACTGTATTTTCAGGAGAGGAGTAAACACACACTCTCTCTCTCTCTCAATTCAATTCCATTCAAAGTGGCTTTATTGGCATGGGAAACGTGTTTACATTGCCAAAGCAAGGGGAAAAAACGAACAAAACAACAACAACGCCAATGCTTTGTTCCCATGTCGAGCGCCCAGAGCAACTGTGTGTGTGTGTGTGTGTGTGTGTGTGTGTTTGCGTGCGTATGTCTATGTGTGTGTGTGAGAGAGAGAGAGAGAGAGAGAGAGAGAGAGAGAGAGAGAGAGAGAGGAACAAGGGGGTGAGGGAGGGTGACAGAGGGTTGAATGAGGGGAAGAACAGAGGAGCTGTTTGCTAGGGGGGTGGTTGGGAAAGCACAGCGGAGAGATGTAGGAGAGAGGAGGGCGAATGAGGGGGCCGAATGCCCAGCCTAGCTCAGAGCACAGCGAAGAAGCATGCCAACAGACCCTCCACCACCACAGCCACAGAGAGGGGGGAAGGGGGGGGGGGCAGATAGGGAAAGAGAGAGACAGAGAGACTGCTACGAGACTGCTACAATAGTAAAAATACACTCAACATGAACAGTATTTTAACATCTACAGTATCAACAGATTTCAGCTACTAATGTGTCATTAAAACCTCAGCTATTACTGTGTGAAATAAAATACAAATGAGCTTTATTACCAATCAGTACTAATGGAAAATTGAAGCACATCAGCTGATATTGCCAATGAAAACGCAAAACCTGGCCGAACTGTGCTTGACTACACATTTTTCTGTATCAAAAAGAATGATTCATATGTGTTAAAATAGTTGAAACCCCATTTGATGTGTGATCATGACACAATAACAGAAAGTATATATATATAAAAAAAGTTTTATGATGTGAGAATGCAACAGTAGAACAGCCAGTCCTTGTGAGAAGCAGAGGGGTCTTATGTAGCGATGTGAGTAGAGAGAGATAGAGGGCTGCTTGTGTTCTGCTCCTATTATGTCTATAGCCGTTCTTCCCCCTTGCGTTCAGTTCCCTTTTCTCTGCCCTCGAACAGACCAATGTGACGAGTCAGCCACCGCAAGCTCAGACAGACAGACGACGGAACAGACATGCGGACGGATGGGTGATGGACGTGCGGACGGACAGAGAATCAGACTGGCAGGTAGGAAAACAGACAGACATCCAGACACTCCACCAGCAGACAAGACATTAGACCCTTAACTGACTAACACAAACCATGAAGTTGTATGGAAGACCTGTTATTATGAATTTCTAATACTTTAAATGGAAGTATGGCAACGTCCGAAAACTGTCTTGCCTAC